CGATCAAAGAAGTGTCTTTTGAACAATGCAAACTGCACTAATAAATCGAATCAATGACGAGCCCTAGACTTTGCTTGTGGTGTCATTCCTGTCCGTCCGTGGAGGTGTGAATATTTGTTGGCACTATTATCATATGAAATGAAATGATCAGCTTTCTTGTACCCTCATGGATGATTCATCAGTTACTCAAAGATCATCGTTTTGCAGATTTTGAACATCTTCACCTAACTTAATTGCAGAAGATAAAATGTCTAGATGGGACCTGAATGGGTGGGTGTACGTCACTTACACGGTGCAGATCGTCTTCCCTCATTATCCTGATACATGTACTGAACTTACCGCTTTGATTTTTCAGTGGTGCTGTTTCCGCATCATGTTCGTTCTTCATCGGTCAGCAATTGCGGTAAGTAAGTACTGATTCAAATCTGTCGCACAATCAGGACTGAACAATGCTCTTAGCTAGACAAATCATCCAAAGGACTAGAACAACTTGCTGGGATAGTCTGTTGTGGCAGTCACTCTTGGTGCTGTGGCGAATCCATGTACTTAAATATAATGGATTCATAACCAAATTCACAAAGGTTTATCGGATTAGATGTGACCTCTTAGCTTAGTCGATTGACAAATTAGTCGAATGAATGTATTATATCAGCTGTGTTGTTTTCCATTCATGTGAACCTCATTCAATGATTTTAATCAATCAGCTGCAAACCCCGTGAAGGGCAACATCATCACCATCTTTGCAACCGTTCAGCAAAATTCACCCAATCAAAATTTGCCAATCACATCCAAGTTCATAAAATTATACAAGATAAATCGGTAACCACGGAATGTCCCAACAACTCGTGTGAATGTTTGTTTTCCTGATACACCTGAAGGAAACAGCTGTAACTGTCTCTGAGCATCCATAATATTGTACGATTTTTGAAGATACTATTTCACCGATGACCTTTCGGGAAGGAAATCTGTATTTGGAGTTACGTAATATGAAATAGGAATTGTAAAATTGATCTAGAAGAGGCTTTGAGTTAGTAATTATCTTCACACCACAAACAAATCACAGAAGTTACTTATCAAAACAAATTTGTTTCATGATCAAGATAAACCGTTTGGGAATCAAGAGAAACATTTCGGTGAACGTTTTAGCCTGCTCTGTCATTTTATAGCGGCGAAAGAAATATAATATTCTCTTCGATTGCGACGTTTCAGTGAGCGTATTGAAAATGCTTTTCAGTCGTGTTCATTTATAATGAGCAAATATATACGGAGTACACCAGACTGGGACCAATACATACTGAACATTGATTATTTCCATCGATTGATTAATGTTTTAGTCTTAACCGGATTTCCCCAATTCCGTTACATAGCGATACTGGAAAAACTCGGTACAAAATATTGCCACGTTCCACACAAAACCGCCCTGTGTCTTCAAACTTATTTTAATTCCCGTGATAACCTACCGGTTTGTTGACGTTTCATTCGGGTCACCTCAGCTTTGGATTCTTTGATCTGTTTGGTCAGTTTGACCAAGCGTTCCTCCATAACACAAATGGTTCGGGCATGTTGCTTGGCCTGTTCCCGATGTGATTCAACCTCTTTTCGCCACTTTTCTTCACATTCCTTCTCGGTTTCTGCCCGAATTTTTTCCACTGTTTTGTTCGCCGCTTCCAGTTGTTCTCTGAGTTCTATGCACAGTGTCTTTTGGGTGCCCAGATCACTTTCCAACTGATCGGTATTTTTGGCCTCATCCCGTAGCAGCTGTAATTCTCCTTCATGAGTAGTTTGCCGTTCGGCTAACATCTATGGTTGAGGCAAAAGTAAACGAGGGAAAAATGTGGCATTGATCGAAGTACGTCTATCGTTCGCTACCGCTATAGTTCAACAGTAACATTATTTTATGCATTCGATAAAAATGGTGGTGGTGGCGATGGTAGTCGAGCCATAAAGGTCATCAAATTATCACCCAGGAGGGAGTTTGCATGAATCTCTTCCCATCACCAAAAAAATGATAAACAAATACAGTCTTGGTTTAATGTGTTAATTAATTTTTAGATATCAAAAACAACCTGTAAAAGTAATCCTGTGTTCCGTCACCGGAATGATATTTCTTTATCCACAAGGAGATTCAATAAGACAGTCAATATAGGAATTATCGTTTCAGTTTTAACAAATACCAACCATGTATCTTCTTGTGCCGGTTTTGGTTCCTGTCTTTTGACCGCTCGTCAGCTAGCCTACACACTGGGGTCAGGTATAAACCGACCTAGTACGACACTGAATCAGCACTGATTTAGTGCTGATAAATGTTTTTTTTCCCTATCTGTGAACAACGGCTGCAACAAGTATCAAAACTTGTGTTAAATCTAATGCACAACAAGCACCCATTTACAATCAAACAAAGAAATAGGTAGGGCAACGGGACTTTTCCTGATGGGGTTACAGAAGATGGACATCTATGGAGACTTGGAAATTAGTGTACCAAGCTTTTGCAAGAGGATAAACAGATGTAGCAAGAAACCCTGGCTCAAAAATTCATTTTCAATTCAAAATTATTTTATGAACACATCAACAAGGAAGGTGAAATCCGGAATATCAGCATTGAGATCGTATGGACCTATTTCAACTACCACGCCACACAGGGATTACGCCGTTCACGTATGCAATTCATGGTTGAACCGCAGCAAGAAGGCTCTAGAAAGTCCGCAAAGTTCGGCAACGAAAATGGCATAAGGTCTGTATGACAAGAGAGACTCTGAAACGATTCAAATATTTGGGGCTTTACTCGTCTATGTCGAAATCGGGGGTCCTAATCTTGCTATACCATATACTGCATTAAACCAACCACCTTTGCCGTTCTGTGCTGACTTTATCTCATAACAATCATCTCAGAACAGTCACCTAGATTGCCGACACTGGTTTGTAGTCAGAGTGTGCGGTATATGGAATTCTCTTCTATCCTATGTTGTGTCTTCCTGCAGTTGAATTATTCAAACCCCACCTTGATAAAGCATTGGGACATCTCACATTTCAAAATCCGTGAGTGACCATGCATATTATTATTTTCTGTTTGTAAAGTTGTCCGAAACATTCTGTAAGATTACCATGGGACATGGTACGCCTTAGCTTTGCTAAATCGTCCATAATAAAACTTTGAACTTTATTAGGTGAATAACGAGTTAGAATGTTCTTTACATATGCAAGTGTTTTGAGCCCAATAAATTTGTGTTCAGTTCCCGTTTTGATTTTATTTTCCTAAAGTTACGCACAGATGTTTACTGGTGGAGTTTATTATTTTTATATATTTTATCACCCAAAGCCGCTAATGAGCTGATATTGGAAAAAATGTATTCATCTGTCAGCTGAACGTGTTATTCAGGTTTATTTTTATTCAATCGAATCATCTCCATCCTAGGTGAAAAATTAACTGCGCCACGACATCGTCCAGATTATCTGAGAAAGGTGGAGTAGTACGGATTACTTTGGTTTGAAAAACAAAACTGAATTGAAGTAGGAAGTAAAAACACCACAATATGAATACTCAAGTAATGTCTACGTGAAAAGCTTTGAAAGCAATTTAGAGCTCTTTGGTTCTTAGCTATCCTCAGCAGTGCACCATATCCACGGCACGCTTGTGACCGTTCGAACCCAGAGATATGCCGGGCCACAAGTCCCACACTTCATAATGAAGTTCCTCTAACTGGCTCCGGCAGTTGATTCCACGTTAAAACACTACAATCTATGGTGCATGTAGTAACAAAGATACTCCTGATTGTGCAAAATATACTTGCTTTCCACAAACACATTGTTCAACAAACTTATTGAATACGTGTTGCGCCCACGACGTTTGCATTCGTGGATTGCATAAGAGAAGTCTGTTCTATTCATTCCTATTCCGTAATTTCGAAAATAAACTGTTTTTGGCATGCAAGAGTTCCAGGAAACGACTGTTCGCTTATTGTGTTTCTGAGGTTCGAGCACAGCTTTCCTTCTCGGAGAAACCAGGTGCGTTGAAAAACGATGGAAATGCCTGTGATAACCAACAAAGAGTACTGGACAGCTGTTTCGTCCCGTTTGGGGAGAAAAACATTTATTATTTTGATGGTGAATTTTTGGATTAGCCCATTCGGTTTTCAACAAACACCGGGCACTGTTGATGATGTTGGTTGTGGGTTTCACTGGACGAAACAGCTGTCCAGTGCTCTTTGTTGGTTGTCATAAACAGTTCCATCGCATTTAAATGCATACAAGCAGTGGGGAATTAAAGACCTCCAGTTGAAAGGCTCCCAAATATTATTACGGTCAAATAGAGCCACTAAACTGAAAACGAGGTTTAAGTTCCATTCGTCCTCATTATTGGTTTGAAACGGAATACACCACTCAACAATAGTGAAGCACAATTTCTATCTAAACAACAAAATTAATAAAAACAACGGACGCAAATGAAAGCTGGTTTTCAACTTACAATTGAACAGTTTCATTCATGAACAGATCAGGTCACGAACAACTAATAAGTAATCTCTTTCCCATTTTTACTATCGTACACGCGGCCGGAATGGCACGCATATGTATGCACAGTATAACCTTATTGTTGAATGATCTTGCGGTTTTCGTCGTAGTCATAGCAACCGGTTGTCCCGGTTCGTTGCCTGTGTACACATTTCTGATTGGTTACCGATGATCAAAACAAAAGGACAACAAAATAAGCAAAAGAAAAACAATATTTACTTATTTCTTTATAAAACTGGGGAACTGTGGTTACCGATGTGCATTCGCTCAGGCATTATACACAACAGTCAAATGAAAAAGCTGATATGGATTGCGACAACAATAATAATAATAATAATTAGTCTTGTGAACCCGGGAAGATAATTCCAGACAAGTTTTCCCGTTTGTTGTTACGCTCAACAGTCTTGTCCAACACAAATGGGATTGTACGAGATGGTTAGTTGGGAAGTATCGGTGTTTGGAAAGAAATATCAATTGAACTACTGCACGATACACACAGTCAGAACACTTCGGTACTGTCAGTCCTAGAGAGGGTAACGACGTTTCTTTATCAGTTTCAAAATAAAACACTTTTTGTAGCACGTCAGTTGTCCAGTAATATAATTTTCAGAAATCACTGTCTTGCGCAGTGATTTATGATCAACGCAGATCCAAGTTGAATCCACGTATGAATGAGTGAGTTGGTTGGCATTGTGGTAGCTTCAATGCTAGATGCTCTCTATGCGCTTCTGATGAGCTCCAAGTAGAGCGAAACTCAACTGCATTACTCTCTAAGTAAATGGTGAACCGGATAAACCGTGGAGTGTACGTGAACATGAAATCTGAAAGATGTTCAACTCGGATAAGCAAAGGCATCCCACATTACTACTCACAAGTAATTCGGAGTTCAAAATGAAAATGTGAATTTGTTTTGTGCGGCTTGCGGCAATGGTTGTCGACCATAATCTGATCGACCAAAGTGATTTGACGACGTTCTCACCTGTCTTGTTTCCCGAAGTTTCAGTTCCAATTCTTCGATAATTGCTTGCTTCACTGCAATCAACTGTTCTTGTCTCTCATTTTCTATACGAACTACTTCATTGATTGTCTGACGAAGTTTATTCGCATCTGTGTGGAAAATGAGAGATTCCAATCGTATCCTCACATTACATTATACATGCATATATAACACCAATCTTTACGGATACAACGCATGAATAACCACTGATTGAAAGAGAATTGCAGAAACAGAACAAATGAGAACAGAAAAACAGTCAAGCATGGAGATGGTAAACATTTTGTTTGTTTGTTGTAGTTTAGGGATTGGATACAGGAAAGGGCGCATTCACACCACCTATTAGGGTTCACTTCCATATTTCGCAGTGTCTCCAGCCAACCGAAATCTGAATCTTTGGGGCCCCTGCCTGGAGGCCAGATCCAAACAGAATTTCCTCAACCCCCTAGATCACGTCACAGCTTATTCTCCTCGCTGTTTTTTCAGTTCGACCTAATGTCTAGACACAACGCACGGTAAGGTAGGCATTCATAGGACGTGCTCTAGCCAACTCAGACGATACAGTATAATCTTTTTGATCAGTGGAACTCTTCCTGATCCTGGCACACATCGGATCTCATCGGTACTCACACGATGCCCCAACCATTAGAGGGTGATGTTGCGCAGAAGACGGCTTTTGTTGAGCATGATCTGCTCCGAGAGGCCAACCAAGATTTGTAACCGTAGAGCAACACGACGCGTAACGTTGCTCAGTACACACGCCCTGTCAGCGAAAGGGATATGCCACGTCGGCGCCAGATCTGTCGCAGATTGGCAAACGCCAAGCTAACATTGATCATTCGTTGAGAGATGTCCTTGCTCACAATTCGGTAATGATTTTCAATCCCATATACCACTGACCTAACGGTGATCGGAACAAGTGAAAAGCTTTGCTTTTATGACAAGAATTATCCTAAACTTACGGAATTTGAGTAGTGGACTGTCATTTAAGACCGCCATAGAATAGGCATGTTGTTCAGTCAAGAGGACAGCGCAAATACCACCCACCAAACATTGGGAGAAAATTGAACAATTTATTGCACCTTTTCAATGCAAACCTATTGGGTGTTTCTTTCTTGATTAATATTGGTCCTTATAAACATCTAGAAATTATCCATAGTCCCTTTGTTTAATGACTGAGAACCGCTAACCTAACCCGGCAGGATTAAGACAGCAGTTTCACGCTTCCCGGTTTTTATTTATTTATTCTATGCACTACTGATTCACCGACGGTTCAACACATGATTGTAAATCAGGAGAAACTATTTACAAATCTAGTTGTTCATGTCGAACTGGTAGCAGCAACAGACTAATGTGCGTCTCATGTGCCGGACCCATTTGCCAGAGTGTACAATTTAAACGAAGAATCTGGTCACAAACAAAGCCAACTTCTTTACTTTAAACATATTGCGGGTATTATTAAGAGTAAATAAATAACTAAAAAGTAATAATAGGTCATCAATTTTCTAAACTGCTTTCATAACTTTTAAAGGGTTGTCAATGAAGAGACAGTTGTTTAACTATCACGGTCTGATGAAAATCGCGTAGAATATGTAAATTTATATAATTGATAGAGATTGAAGGCAATATGGGGGATCTAAAATCCATAAGTAAGGTATAAGTGAACATATGTGTTTAATGCGTTGAATTTCAAGCTTTCATATTTGCCTTTTTTCGGAAATTACCAATGTAGAACTAAGGAGGAAATTCCAGTCAGATTACGGATTAAACGAGTCTCATACGAATTGTCTGTGTTTGTTTGTCTTTCATCTTCCCACCCAGGCCCCAGCAACCCGCCTAATTTTCTAATCTGATTGGGCTCACTTGGCCGATGAGAAATACTATACAAGCGAATCAGATTTCCCGTACCTGTTCCCGGTAAATTCTTTCATTCGTCTTCTAATGGCCACTGTGAATGTGAATTTCGGGCTTGCATCTTGGGGTGACATATTCCTCTACTTCTCAAACAAGTATGCGGTGTGACCCATAAGATGTATGAGTAACATAACACAAATGTGACTCGGTAATCGGTGCTTCTTTTTTCAGAAAACGATACATACACTGGTCACTCACGTTCCTCATTGTTCACTTCCAACGCTTCTTCGACACGATGTTGTAACTCTTTTCGTTGCGTGTCTTTGATTCGCTCCAACTCCTCGTGGTGAAATCGTTTACAATTCTCCAATTCTTTTTGCAGGGCTTCACGTTTGGCCTGAATCGCCATCCCAAACTCGGCCAATCTACGAATGCCGGTGATTGGATCGTGCGGATGGGATGTCAATGAGATGGTTGAATCTGGTCAGATCAACAAATGGAATAGCCAAACAGAATGTGGTCATTTTTTAGCTGGTAGTAAGTTGAGCATGATAGACGGATAGATGTACACGCGGATTTCGTAGGTAGTCAATACTGTCAACGGTGTTTCATGATATTGTGAACTTGTGCTGCAACAGCAACAACAACAACGACAACGACGGAAGCAACAGCAGCAACAACAAAAGCAATACAAAACAAGCTCTGTCCGAGTTGTCAAACACAGTCGTTTAAGTAGCCAATCTCATAATGTATTATACCAATAAATCTGATCCAAACACATCAAACGGGTGGACTGGAAATATAGCCAGATAGTAGACTAGATTCTACTTTCCCTAAAAAATAAAAATAATTCTCAACCATTTATTTTCATCAAGTACAGACACCGCGAAACACAGATTGAGGAAACCCACATATGCGGTAGCTGGATCAGAGTCTGAGATTGTAGTTTTTTAGTATGTGGTTGATCGCAAATTAGAAGGGGATCAACTCTTACTCCTCATGGGAACTCATCTATTCATCTATTCAGATCAGACCTAAATTAAAAACCTAAATTATATAAAATTCAATTAGAATGGAAGGCAGCTGATATCAGTTCGACTAAACCAATCGCTTTGTTTCGTAACTCTCTTGTGATTTACACGCAAATCAGGCGCAGATCGCATCCTTACCCGGGCAGACAGCAGCCACCGCACTACTGGCTTCTTGTAGACAATCCGCTATGCGTTGTGTATTGCTGAGCTCTTCTTTCCAACACTGAGATAATGCTTCTTGTAAGCGCCTCAGCTGTTTGGACTTGGGCACATAGGTACAAATTAAATCGAGTTGACTGCGCACTTGCGTCGGAGATCGGATTCGAGGACTTTCGGTCGCGTTACCCTGAAATGAATGTAAATGAAACCGGTGAGTTAACTCATCG